AAAAGGAAGAAGAAGAACACCCGAACGCAAAAGCCAAAACGAGCCGGACCAGGTCCGGAGAAAGACCGAAAAGACAAAAGCGAGCCACAAAGCCAAACATCGAAAAACAGCGACAACCGGCACTTAAACGTTCTTTCTGGTTGGGATCGCCGGAAGATGAAACAGGTGCTGCAGGTCAGCTGACTTGTAGCCGGCGGACAGATAAATACTGCGGAGCTGATCCAATGCCATCTGTACTGCTCTGGCCGGGTGCGCGTACTTGGTGGCGAGGGCTGACCGCGATCTGGCCCCGGAGAGAAGGGTGGAGAGACTTCCAGCAGTGTGGGGTCCTCTGATCTGCCAGATTTTGGTTGGGGTTTTGTAGTAAATCGCCCGGTCGCCCACATCGATGACGAAGCCGAGGAACTCAGAAGATCCCACCTGTTCCAACACGATGGGGGCGCCGTAAAAGTCAGCTTGAAGCAGAGCCTCCAATGGAGCTGCTGGGTGACCGGAGGCCGGAGACGGGAAGATGACAAATCTGTTGTCCACATATCGCTCCAAAAAGATATTGTGACTGACTAACCATTGTCCGTAGATACGCTGCCAAATAACTTCGTGCCTCGCGACGCAGATGTGGCTGAGAACTGGGCTCAGCTGAGAACCAATCGCCGTCCCGTGGACTTGGCGCAGAATGAGAGTTCCCACCTGGACATACATGCATTGGAAGCTGGATTTGACGATACCCAGGATGTCCTCCACGTAAATGACTCGCGTGGTCGGCGTACGTCCGTAGGATTGCTTGCCCGCAAACACCCGATTGTAGTGGACAGCTGCCTGAGTTTCTACTGAATAGATGAGACCGGGATGCCCTCGCTGGTGCTCTGCTAATAGCTGCTCGACTGCTGCGCACACTTGATCCTGAGGGACACTGTTGAAGAAGCCGACCAAATCGTCATTGTGGAATGCAAGGGTGACTGTATCGTCTGTGTTGTCAAAGTAATGTTTGACGTTCTGCCATATCCTCGGCGTGGGGTGTATCCCCCATGAACACTTCCATGTAACCGCTGCGATCTCGCCGAGGAGGATTGCAACCGCTTTGAAGAGCTGCCGATGTACCACCTTATGGTAGGCTATAATAGTCCGCCCCGATTTCCATTGCTTCTTGCGTTTGAGAAAAACTTTTCCGACCGGGATGGCGGTGGTCTTCTTCCTGTATGCCCATTTGTACCTCTTCTGCAGGTGCCGCGGAATAGCTTCAACAATAAGAGCCCCGCTTGATCGGGCTTCAGTGGAGTAGCTGCAAATGTGCCGGACTGAAGCCAGGTGTTGTGGAGGCCTTTGAAGTAGAGCTGAGGGCAGAAGAACATGAGGTGGTGGTTGTCGTGATCCTCGTTGTGGCATACAAAATCCTGGCCGAGGTGTCGATGCAGGATGTTGAGTTGGTGCTTGGTAAGGAGCTGATGGGTGGACGCGTGCTGCCGATGTTTCTGAAATTGACTGCGTAGGTGCTCCATGAGAGGTGCGTGGAACTGGTCCAGGGGCAGGCCGTGGTGCAAACACCATTTTCGTAGGCGTTCATGAACTTGCACTTCGTAAACTGAAAGGTCCACATAATACGACGCCAGCGCTGAGGTGTACGTGCTGAGGGGTTCCCGGAAACCGGAACTCATCTAATCCCGCGGCCACATGGCCTTGAACGTGAGATAGCCAGGGCTGACGTTTTAACCAGGCTGCGCACTGACACGATGATGGTCCGGGGGATGTCAAGAGGTAGCAGTCCTGAAATGACGAGAAGTTCCACATGACCGTATGGACCCGAGGATGAGGGGTCTCTGCCAACTTCGTACTGGGCAAGTGGAATGGAAGGGCCCAGTTGCGGTGGTCGAGGACGAGACGACGAAGTACTTCCCTGGTGGACCGCTGATAATGTGGATGGGACAGCCACGGTAATCGCAATAACAAATTGATCTTGGGTTGCTGAAGTTGACGGAAATCAAGAACTCTTCGCAGAATGTTCCGAACTCGATGCCGATGAGGCTGTTCCACATTGCCAGACAACCTGTATATAGCATAGATATCCAAGTCTGAATGCCGTCCACTACGAAGTCGTTTTCCTCCTCCCAGGATTCAATGTGCTCCGAGGTGAGGCGAGCAATGATGGACCAGGCTTGGGTGTGTTTGAGCGCCACTCGATGGAAGTTCCTGCCATAGACAGTGCAGCTCCTCCTGCGCAAACGGAGGAAAAGGCGTTTGCCGAACCTGGACCAGGGCTGTTCTGCAAGAAACCTGGTGGCCGTATAGCCGGTGGAGATGCGCTTGTATCGCCGATGAATATAGGGCCAATTGAGCGACGGCTGATAAATGCTGATCAAGGCATGTTCCTGGGTCCAGGTGACCCTGTGGTCGGGGTCTGTCAGGATGACCCATGTAGCAAACTCGTCATAGTTGTTGAAGTGGTGCCACCATCTGAGCGCTGGTTCCGCATTGATGAATTGTCCGTGCTGAATACCCAGTAACT